CTGTTCTTAGAACTGAATAGTCTTCAGTCTAGATGCTCTATAAATAATTGAGACAAGCTAACTCTTTGTGAATTAGCACTGCCTCCATTTTTTTAAGTGAAGCAGAATGACTGGTGTAAAAGTTATCCAAGGTTTGTAATGTTTCCTTGTTGTATAGTAAAACAGATTGACGTTTGGGGCTTATACACTATTACAGTCAAATTGCTGCTCTAAGGACAGTTCATGATTGCAATGTACACTCTCTCTGAAGGAAAAGGTGACACAGAAAGGTCTCCAGTCTAGTGACCACTAAGAATTTGGAGGTTTTGTTTCCAGTTCTGCAACAAATTCCTGTGTGACCTTCTAAAGTGATTAATCCTAGGGCATTTCTGAACCTTGGGAATCAGCTATGCCAATCACCTTTCTTCAAAGGTCAAGGACAACAACAGTGAAATAATATATGAAGGTCAAAAAGGAAATATTTTCTCCAATGCATACGTTACATCCTGCATGAAGTGCTACAAATTATCATTGAAAAAAAATAATGTGAAGGAGAACATCAGTCTGTAAGAAGTACAACTCTCATTTAAGGAGTATGATTCAAAATGGTATATTCTGCTTGGGGGAAATTTTCTGTACTCCCTACTACAATGAGTCTTCTATTTACTACTTCAGGCATCTGGAATTGACTGATAAACATCAACTAAGCTGTCTTTTGGGTCGTTTTTTTTTGTTGGTTGGTTGGTTGTTTTTTTTCTTTACTCGTGCACCATGGTTTTGCTTATAATTTTTAAATATTCACTTTGCACACTACCTTTTATGCATAGCAGCATGATGTATTCTGAAGTCATAATTTCTGTATCCAAGTGCTGTTTTAATCAATATACTTATTCAGTTACAAAAAAAAGTACCTTTTTATTTTATTTCCAAGTTCATTTTGCAACATTAAAAAAATAAAAAAATACAATTAATTGTAACAATCTGAGTGTTTTAATCTACCACATTTTAGATGGCTGTAAGCTTTTGCATTTACTGCTGCTGAACAAGATTTATCTTAGTTTTTTGCTATCATAAAAATATGATGATTTTCAACTAAAAGATTGACTAGAGATGCAGTAATTGATAATTCCTTGAGTGTAGAGTGAATGTGGGAAAAGGAAGTATAGAAGTAAAGCTGATTTTCTGTAGAAAATATGTATATAATGTTGACAGATGAGAAGCTTAGTGACAAAACTTACTAGTTGCAGTATTTAGCAGAAAGCAATTTGTGGTGTTCTGAAGCACTACTCAGTTGAGCAGTCTTGAATTGGACCATACTGATCATGAATGGAGACTTTTTTTACTAATACCTGGAAATCCATTGCAAATTGCTCTGTCTTACGAAACAGTTAAGATCACTTTGGTGAATAGCTTGACATTATGTTGATACAACCTCTTCTTGCCTCCAACACCTCAAAACTGTCTGAAAAACCCTTGGATAGACTCTATTTGTTCTCCAGTTCAGATGGCATTACCTGGGAAAGCAATTCTACCATATGCTGAGCACTGTCAGTTCCTATTAACTTCAGTTTAAGTGAAGGGGCACAGCCCTTCTTAGGAGATGCAGGGTAGTGTCAGCACAGATTCTTAAGCTGAAATTCAGTTCTTTGCAGAAGGTCTGCACAAAGCCTATGTATCATTTAAGTGCCACTTAATTCTTTATAATAGAGCTCGGAGTGGATTTGAAGAATCTGATAGGCTTTTTGCTCTCTTGTCTGCAGAGGGCTGAATTTCACCCCTAGTGAATATACACAGTAAAAAAGCAACTACAATGCCTCAGGAAATACACCATATTCCTTTGCTTTGACTAGTGTAACTCAGTTTCAATTACTGATGAAAATTCTTTGATACTATGCTGATAGAAATCATTGTACACTTTGCTCTCTCCCTACATTAGTTTAGCTTCACTCTGATATAATGGGCAAACTGAAAAGTGAAAATGCAAAAATAGATGTAGTTTTGCAGATAGGAACAGAACCTCCCTTTTGCCATGGTGTGAGAGAAACTGTGTGTTGGTGAGGCTCCTGAAGCAAAGCAACAGGCAGGTGGGGAAGCAAAATTAAAGGAAAGTGAGAGCCTGTAATGGGGAAGAGACCCCAAGGGGAAGCAGGGTGGGGAGATGAGTGTGGGGAGCTGAGGGGACACAGGGATGCTACACATGTTTGGGATTACTCCTGACGGTGTATTCAGGAATTTTCAAGTGTTAATGAACATTTAATGTTTAGTACTATGGTTTACATTTTTCTGTTACTGGTATTGATCCACACTACTGCTGGCTATGTGTCATTAATAGATTAATAAACCATTTTGATACTATTTTTCTTTTAAACCATATGAACTGAGTAGCTTTTCTCTGCAAAAGCAGTTGTTCTGATTCTCAAGGCCTAAATGCATGAGCTGGTCTGTGTACTTAACACAGAAATGTTGAAGACTTTATGTTCTGTAAAATATTCTTGTTGTGTCCTAAATTTGTGCAGATATAGCCAATACCCAGAGCAAGGACCCCATATATTTGTGATAATACCGGTAGCTGCATTCTGAGATAGCAAGCAAGCAAACACTGAGAGTAATTCACAGAGGAGATACTTTTTTTTTTTTTTTTTAGGATTAATTCAAATTATGTTTCCAGAAAAACCTCCCAGCTGAGATAGTAGAGGCAATCTAGTAGGTATTTCTGAGTTTAACTGACTATTCAGTCTTTCAATGATCCTTCATATTCTTGAAACATTGATAGAAATAGCCGTTTCGATATGTGAACTGTGAAAGATATGCATGCAAATGGGTGAGGTTTGAGTTAATGTTTTACTGAGCTTTTTCTGTTAAACCTGCAACTGAGTGCATGCCTTCACTGAGAAAGGATGAGGCTATTATCTGTTACAGAGGAGATGTTAGTCTCAAAGACTGATATCCAGTTATCAGTAGAGCAGTACCTATGGAGCCTAAACACAATCCAGAATTCTGTGTATTATGTGCTATAAACACTTAGTGGATTCGCTTCAAAAAATTGTAGTTGTGAAAATTATTTCGGAGTCATTCTACCGGTGAGATATATATTGCCTAATGAACAGTACAAATTCCTATGTAGATATTTTGGACCTGAAGTGTTTTTTATAATGAAAATCTTAATATGAATTTCAAATTGAGCTTCCACTGAAAGAAATCAGTGTTTGTTATATTGCTAGACGTTACCTACAATTGTACCGGAACTGAGGACACAAGTTGTTTCATGTCAAAATATTGGAAAGGATTCTATTAAAAGACTTTAAATTGCACTTCTATTTCTTGCCATGATCCAGTGGCATTGCGAATTGTATTCTTAGTAATTCCAAACAGAGAAATTCAGGCTGAATCACACATTCGGGTGAGCATAAAGCTGCAACTCCCACTGGGATAGATATGCATTTTAATCTCCTTGGACCCCGGGTTAATTTGGTGCAGTACAAGCTTCTTGTATCCTTATCTTGCCAAGTCTTTCTCCTGTAGTCCTCTTTTTGGTAGACTTATGACTATTGAAGGCATTTTGTGTGTATTAGTGTCTCACATCAACACAGAGGGAGGCATGGTCTGTATCTCTGTGTGTGGAACAAGGTCTGGCCTTGAGTCCTAGGACACTTATGTACAAATTGAAGTGGTGAAGCTTTCTTGTAGTCCAGCCAAGGATTGATGAGATGATCTCTGAAGGAACTGAAGATATACATATTGTGAGCCTTTCAGTCTAAGCAAAAGTTAGTTTAGGAGACTTTACCTTGTTTAGCATGAGTATATGGCACTCTGCAAGGGCGTGTATCGCTGTATAAGTATTTTATGAAAAACATCCCAAACACCTTAGTCTACAATTTTGTCTGCCGGGGGAGAGTGAAAGAATAGCAAAATACCAGATGTTACTAATATTGTTTACTATTCTATGAGAGGGAACTCAGATACTACAAAGGTGAACTCAAAAGTAGTACTACACAGGTAAACTCAAAAGAAGTAGTACTACACAGGTAAACTCAAAAGAAGTAGTATTATAGTCCAGAAGGAAATCTACAAGTATTAAAGCTCCTTTTCTCCCTGCCTTGAAGAAAAATTTCTCCCTATAACTCCTTTGCTACTTAAGCTACTATAGATACTTTTGCTGCTCTATAGCTGCTTTATTGCAGCTAGAGCTCTGTTGTTCCAGACTACTTGCTGTGTGTGACTTTTGAGGAAATTTTGCAGATCCAGCTTGGCAGAGACACAAGCATTAAGAGGAGACATAAAACACATATCACACCATCTTTCAATTAAGGACCTTCCTAACTAGACTTCTTTTCCCTTGTAGTAGGGTGTTTATACCTGTCTTGTCCCTCTGCTTGTTATTGCCTTGTCCATGATTTCTCAACCTTTGCTTCCTTCAACACCTCTCCGCCTTATGTTCCTAGTTTCTGCCCCTAACTATACCCCTACCATTGCTAGTATTACGGAGTTTCACAACTGCTGTGATTATGTTGACCTCTCTAACTTTTTATTATAGCTTTTCTCTTTGCACTGTATGTACTGTGTCTATTTACACTGTGAGCACATCAGAATAAGGAGTGTCTGTTCAGGTTTAAGGAGAGTCTAACACAATGGATCCTGGTTGTGGGTCACTTTTAGGCTACCATAATGATTACTTAGGACAGTAAGGCTTCAATTGTTAGCCCTTCCAGCAATGTTTCCTTGATTGGAAGGAGCATGAAATAGGAAAAATAGCTAGTTTCTATGTTCTTTTGTTTAGTAATAGAGCTGTCTTTTGTTTTATTGCTGGTTTTTAAGTTTGAAATGAAATTTGTTGGCACAGCAGGTGTTGTAAATAAGTTTGTAAATTGCCTAGAGCTGTCTACATGATAACCTATTGCTGAATTATCAGATGATGAAAATAGACAAGTCAAATGAGAAAGTGTTTAGAGATAAGTGAAATATGAATTCTCCTGCCAATTGTTTTTGGTTTTGTTTTTTCTTCTTCCTTTTCTGTTCCATAGCACGAATTATCAAAACAAAACAGTGGTGTGAAATGCTTCCATGTTTAGAAGGAGAAGGCTGTGATTTGCTAATCAATAAATCAGGCTGGACCTGTACGCAACCAGGAGGACGGATAAAGACAACCACGGTAGGTCACTTCTCGGTTCTATATTTCTTTAATTTTTCCATTGACTTTAGTTTATTGAAAAACAAAATATGAGACTTTAATTGTTTTTCAGCACAGTTATGCAAAGCCTGTTGCCTTATAATTAATCTGTGTACCCAAGTGTGCATGTTGAAATACACAGCAAAGTTATCACTAACCATAAGATTGAAAAGAATAACAAAGGAAACTGTGTCATTCCAATGGTTACTAAGAGTGGAAATCATATCAAGGTTTTCTTAAAAGGCACCAGTGGTTTAACATTTGTATGGATACATTTGTATCCAGCCTGAAGACAGCATCCTATTGCTTCCTTGTACATGAATTTTCTTACGCTGAGGTAGTGTAGGATATAAAACTGAACACATGGTCTAGCAAGGCAAAAAGAAAGCTTTCACTGGGAGTTCCGGAGAACATATTTTTGCTATTCCCACTATACTGGAAAAGCAAATTGCACAGATCTTTAGTTTTCAGTGAGACCTACAGAAAACATAGCAGAAGATCCCTTCTTCCAGTTTTCTTTTAGTCCTGGTTTGTTGATAAACCCCTCAGTTCTCTGATTGGGTGTCTTGGGGCATGTGCTTTTAGTGAAGCTGAAAGTATATATGACAGTAATAGTTTCTATGGCCTGTAATATATCAAACAGATTTCTAGAAAATGATCTCAAATGCCAGTAATTCTTTGACTTAAAAAATGGAAAAAATCTGAAGAGATATAATAGAGCAATTTTCTGATAGCTTGCTAGACCTCTTGAAATTATTTCCACTCCTTATAATCTTTTTTTAGGTTTACAGGGAACTTGAGTGTAATTTAAATAAGTGCAATTTCAAGAATATTTAGTCTTAAAAGTACTTATCAGTGAGGACTAAATTAAGACCCATCATTCCCTGCACAATTTCTCTGTCTGAGCAGGAGACAGATAGCAGTATAAAACCTTTTATTGTTTTAGAATGCATGTATTTTGGAAAATTAATGTAATTTTCACTTTTTAAAAAGAAGGAAGATTTGATTGTGCTTTATGAGATACAAAACAAATTTTATGAATTGTCTCTGTTTTGATTCTTCTATATTTACCAGATATATTATTCATTATTGACAGGACTACAAAACTTAACTCAGTCTCTGAGGCCTTACTTAGATATGGTTTGCCTTTAAATCTTTTGCATTCAAGTAATGTAAAAGTGACATAAAAAAACAATGGAAGGAAATTGCTTTTTTAACATTAATGCCAGCTTTCAAGGGCAAGGAGATCTAATATGGTAGCTTTGTCATACTTGAAATATAGTCTTAAATCTTGTTAATTTAGGGGTTTTTTTTCTGTATCTGAGGTAAACGGAAAACCCATGTACTGTGACACGTTGCCAGCCATCATTTTAGTTCTTTATTTGATGTTTTATGCTAATGGCATGACTGAGTAATGCAAAGTAAGCACAGGATTTATCCTTCAGTTTCTGTCTTTAATGAAGTGATTCAGATATGCTTTCAGAATAAACACCAGAAGCCTGATTCTGAACTCTTACTTGTGTGTATAGCTCTTTAATGCTATTGACATGAATAGAATGACTCATGAATTTGATTAATGTAAATGAAATCATAATCGTGCCCCATCGGTAAAATTAAGGCCATGGCAAGTGTAGTATTATAAAACAGACTCCCCACACAGATACATCATTGTCATTGGTGAGGAGAGATTCTGCCAGAGAGCCAACTGTAGAACAGCTCTGAGCATAAGCCCTCATCTAACATCAAGCAGTTTTCAACAGTTGGTATCACACATGCAGACACACAACAAACACACAGTACTTTTCAGTCAAGCCAGACTAGCAACTCAGAATACTTATAGAAGCACTGAATGCAGAAGGGGGAGAGAGAAAAAAAAAGAACAAAAACCCACAAGAAACTCTAGTCTATAATACAGTATTAATAACATATTACGAATTAAAAAAAAAAAATAGGTTCTTTAGCCACTTGGTTGAAGGGTAAGTTTTGGGCAGTAGTAGTCGATTTGGAAACTATGTCTTAGGATGACTCCATCAAATGCATGACTGTGATTAAAAGAGAAAAACATTTCTAACCAAAACCATGAGACACTATTTGCTGTAGCAATTCTCTCAGACCAACAGCTGCTAATGCAGTCAAATAATTTCTATTTCAGCTCCTAATCAACATACATGAGTTACCAGGCCTAGCATAGTATTTAAGTGTGCTGGGAAGGGCAAGAAAATTAAATTAGCCACCAGGTAGTATGGGGAAATAAATGCCCAGACATATTGAATTAGTTACTTTACATTGCTATTAAGTAGAAATAATTCTTGACCACAGCTCCAGCAATAGCCAGGTTAGGTCCTTAGATTTTTAACTAAATTTTATTTACGCACATATGTTAATTTTATATTTGCAGGACTTTCCTGATGATATAGCTTGCATCTTAAAGATATTTTTGGTAGTCGGTCTTGTGTTATCATAGTGGTAGTAGATCATATAGCAGAGATATCACTGTTTGGTAAATGCTGAAACAATAATTTGCCACCCATACTAAAACCAGAGTAATACTGAATTTGGATGAACTGAGACCAGCTGTTGTGATAATACCAGCTTTTGCACTGATTCCAGGAGGTTGTGTAGAAGTGCAGCCTTTTAAATACTGAGCTTAAAAGTAGCACGTAGAAAGGTAGGACAAATAGAGATCTTATGTAGGACATGAATTTCCTTTTATGTGAGAATATACTTTAGGACTCATAGTTAAATAAGTTTCTAACAAAAAAAGGAGGAAATAGGTTTCCTTTTCTGTAGATGAGTTTAACATTTAGTATTTTTTCCATGAAAATTCCAAGCAAAGAGCAAATGAAAATACCCATTGCTGCAGAGCAAAAGCACAATTTCTGTAAATTGTTTAGAAAGGGCTGCTGTTACTTTATATTTTGTGTCAAAATTGTTTACACTTTCTACACAGAGCCAGATTTTTCAACTGCCTAGCACTTTTTGTGATCACTTCTGGAAATAATGCAACCAAATCAGAATTCTGTCCTCACATGGGTAGCAGTGTTTTATATCCATCTTGTGCTCTCTTTGCACAGGCATAAAAGACTACACAAGGTGCAAGGCAAAGGAAAATCAGACTCAAAGTATATTCTAAATGGATCTGGATGTCACTTCTGCCCTGTTGTTCTTTCTACAAGGTGTGAATGAACCAAAGAGTTTTCATCTGCTAAGAGGCTTTTAGAATTGAGGACTGACTGGGCTAACTGCCAATCTATGTATTAAGAGGATGACTGTCAATACATGGAAACAATATGGGAACTTGTAAAAGAAGATAGCAAGAGAATACTACACAATTGTTAGCTATTTCAACATATAAGTACTTTCATATAACAAATGTTCTTACAGTCACTTTAAAATTTCCTGCCTTAAAATTTGTTCTCCCTTTGCTATCCTTATTACTCTTCCAATTATTTATCAAAAATTAAGCTATATGATTTTTTAAAGTAGTGCCAGGAGATATGCCTTTTTTTTTAAAGATGTTGCTGAAAGGCCTGTCTATTTTATATTTCAAGTATAAAACTTGCTAGTGTATAGATGAGAAGATACACAATGTATTGGTTTTACAGGGGAGATTAATTTTTAGCACCAAAGTGTGTATATGTTGCCAATGATCCATCACTACCTAATTGTTACTTAATTAATTCCTTCATCTACATAATATGATTTCAATGCATGGAGCTTAACAGAACATTCATGCACCAGTTTCTCGGTAGCTAACCTTTTAAACCTTTGTGATTTTACCGCTAAATTAGCTGAAGTGGGAAATTAAGGAATGTGGAGAAGCTAAGAGAGAGCTCACGGTGGATAAAAGGTGTAATTACTCTGACATGGAGCTCAGTGCTTAGCTGGTAAAATTTACTAAGGATCTAGCTTCACCAAGGGACCTGACTTTCTTAATAGAGTTTACTTACACACAGAGCAACTTAGCATTCCCTACCATTAATATAAATGACATGCTGGCTGGGTTGGAAAGGAAATTTGTTCCTTACCCTGAAAAATACAATACTTATTTGTATTGGCTGCAATTTAAATCAAGATTTTTCTGCAAAGCTTTATCGTACACATATGTATGATAAAATAGATAAAATATACTGGTTTGCTTCTCATCACTGACTTATGAGCAATGTGTTCTCATTCATAACATTACATTCAAGGTAAAAAGATAAATATATACATATATATGTTACATATTTGTAACATACTTGAGAATTTACTTTTTTTTAGACTGAAGACCAGCTGGAAATGTCCTGAGGCCATGGTCTACTGGTCTGAGCTTGGGACTGGGAGCCAGAAACTCCTGAGCTCTAATCCCGGCTCTGACAGTGACTCCCTCTGTGGCCTTGGGTAAGTCACTGAACCTCTCTGCCTCAGTTTCCCCAGCATTAAAAATTAGATTAACAATTCTTAGTTCCATACTTTAGTGAATTTGGGAGTCCTGACTTAACATTTTAGAGGTTTTGAAATTCAGAGTAACTTTAAAAAAAGCCACTGTTATTTATAAATGTCCTTATTGGTGATATTCATGTTGTTGTTAGGTATTCACATAACTCTGGCATTCCTGTACTTAGTCTCACCTGCATTTCAGCTCTGAGTGTTTCTAAATGTGCATTTCACATCTCCACAGGTCAGCTGATTTTGCTTGATTAAGCTGATTTTGCAAGTATTTTGATATCCTGCCAGTTCTAGTTCTGTGTCCTTCTGGGATACAATACCTACCAAAATAAGCTTTCAGGCAACACCAAAATAGAGCAGTGGAATAAGGCATGCATGCCATGCCAAATCAAGTTTCCCTCTTCCCCTTTGTTAGAAGTGGTCAATTCATGAAACAGATACAATAAATCCACTTGTCAGCAGTTCATCTACTAAGTTCCTTCACTGTCCTAACTGTAACAGGAACACTAGATACAGACCAAGACTACAGAGGATACTTTTCAGGAGGCTGGTGTATCTCCTCATCCTAATCCAAAGAATGGCTTTTAAAAACAAGCAGGCAATTATGATCCTGAATTTTCCATCATTCATGGCCAACTGTTGGGGAATCAGAATCTTTGGCTATATTTAAGCTATAGGACCATTTTTGCTTAAAGTCCATGAACATGCATGATTGTGAGTGCCTATGTCTTCTCTTTTTTTGTGTGTCTCTTTTTGTGATGGCATGCCTGCACTGCCTTGCAAGAGATTTTAGCAGCAGCAGAAAGGGCTCTCACAAATGCGCTTATGTGGTGAAATGGATCATTAACTCTTTCAGGTCATCCTCAGATATACTTACTCTTAATTTCTTATTGTCACTAAGAATCATCTCTATTCTTAACTCCTGCTGTCAGCCAGTTAGAATTTCATGAGCTCTGAGACTATTGCTTCACTAAGCATCATGCATCACAAAGTCCTTTAAAACTAACTCAGGTCTCAGTAGTGTGGTTCTGAAATTGATATTTGAATAAAATTTTCCGAGGCCATACCACATAACTGGAAGCTAGCCTGAAATACCTTTCAAATGTTAAAACGTTTATGTATTCTACCTCTTATATATACATATATGTACCAAGTCAAGAAAGGGTAGAACATGAACACCTTCTGCAGAATGTCTTTGGCAGATATGTTAAGATCAAAGAAGTCATGATATTTCGATTTATGACTGTACATATGAACTACCAAAACTAGGTTACTTATAATTAACATCTCATTCTAGTGTAACTGCATGTCTACAGGATCAGCCCTAGTCATTGTCCAGTGGTTTAGCTGAGCTTTCTAATATTTTGTCATTAATTTGATGCTCTTCTCAGCAGAAATAGCTTTGATTATGAGACAAAATGCCAGTTCTTACCATATCATAGCCATGTGCTTCAGTGTGCACTCTATAGATCTGTACCCCAAGGCCTAAATTCAACCTGTTGTTTATTTCCATGGCTTACAAGAGATTTTTATGCTTTGAACAGTTTCCACTACTCATTGTTCACAAAAGGTATCATAATTTACAAATGGGTCTTGATTGCAGTACTAAAACTAGATTGCTTTCCATTAATTTCCAAGCAAGTTAGTATGGAAATTGGATGTCTTAAGTCTCAGAGAGGTTAAAAGTTAAGTTTCTAAATCCTGTGTTAGAAAAAAACAGTAGCTTGAGACAACTTACAAGCAGAGTGGTGGGATGGTCTTCATGGCCCCATATTTTAGGGACTTCATGCACTGGGGAAACTAAATTAAAATAAAATTCTCATGATGCTGAAGCCCCTCATAAAGGCACCATGCTATTCCTATTTTGTAAGCTGTGCACTTCTTTGTCATACGAATGTACTGAAATCTGCACATTCTATTTTTCATCATCCTTATCAAAATGCACTTCTTTGTTCAAATAACTGATCTTCAAGTCCTAAGCCAAAATACTAGCAAAGGTTTTGCGACTTTTATAGACTTTATGTTGAAAGGAGCTGTCAGATACTTGAAGAACTACCTTAAAGATATAAGGTGCCTTCCTCTGTCCTGAATACTGAATACTGGCTCTACTAATGTTCAGTGATTCACACTACCTGAAAAGATCACAATTTACTCCAAGAATAATGTACAGTAAAATGGCAGGGTAAGTTGAAATCATAATTTGTTACCTTCTCAAATGATTCCTTTAAAGAAGATAGGGGATATAGGAGTTTTTCTTCACTTTCAGAACATGTATTTTCCAGTTATAATGGGGACTTATAATATCTCCATTTTTATTTGTCTTTACAAAGTTACAGAAAATATGAATACCTATTTCTGCATGGGCTATTTTAAAGATATTACAATTCCTGTGCAAATAATTAAAATCACTTTTCAGATAGATAAGCTTTACAGATATATAATTTCTTTCAGGATTCCTTTTTCTTATTTCATGTTTGGAATTTGCTTCTAGCGTTCAGTCCAATCTTACAGTGCTTACTTAAGGACAGGGAAGTTTCAGGTTCAGTGAGAAAAACTGGTTTCTGTTTAATGCTTAGGAACTATAGTTTTTCTTTATGATATGGATTAATCTATATTTAAAACCAGTTAGTTCATTGTAAAATGAGCTACATTCTGATCTGTCTTGAGGTCTGAACTGTCACTTTCAGTAAGTAACAAAAGCTGATTCTACCCAAGGCAATAATATTAAGTTTCCAATCATCTGTTTCATGGTTTTGTGGAACAAATTCTCGTTTCAGTAAAAAAGCCAAGCAAAAAATTCGTAGGTTGTTTTTATTTTATTCTATACTTTGAAAGTAGAATTCTGAAATGTAAATAAAACTACATATGCAACTTGGTGATTTCATTGACCACTATGTCGTAGTGCAAACCTACCCAATAAATTATGGACATCTAAGAACGTTCAAGTGTATCCAAGACTTTAAAAGCTGCATTTTAAGGAATGCCTAAATTGTTAAGTTGGTCCTAATTAAAAAAAAAAAAAAGTTGAATTTGAAATTCTTTCCAAATTCTATAATTTTCCAGTATACCAGTAAAAATTATGGGTTTTTATGAGGTAAAATTCTCATCAATATCCTCAAAACCAAGAAAAGAACCTACATTTTAAAAATGGAAGTATCAGGACATAGTTCACAGATTCAGTTATCTGCATGGCAAAATAGCAGGCCCATCAAAGAGTGAAGAGGCTAATAATAGATTTCAGTATTATTGCTTAGCACTTTAATTACCATTCACATTTAGGTAAACCTTTCCAAATACTGAAATAGCATCATAACTGGTCTAAGAAATAAGCATCTCAAGAATTAGTACTGAGATGGACAAAAGGGAACAGATAAACCAAGTTTATATTAATAGTGGTAATATTGGGTCTTTTTTTGTTTGACAATTCTTAGCATAACAGAGGGACATTCTAAATCCGATTTAGTTTCCTCAACTTATCATTTTAGTGCATTCAGATACTTAAGGGTATTGAAGGCATCTATCATAGGGTGAGGATACGTGACATAGAACCTGTAGACCAGTGCCTTTGTGGGGCGACAGCTGAGTGACATGCAGAAAATGCTAGTTTATTAGTTGTGTTAAGCAACTAAATCTCACTCCTCATCTCCTAAACCAGACAATTTGATACAGCGTTGCCCACTCCTACCATATATGTTTCGTTATAGATTGATATTGTCTGAAGGTTCTGCTTTCTTGCATGAATATGAGAAAATCAATTTTCACTTTAGAAGTGACTGGAAAGAGTCTATCGGAGAAAACAAACATGAAGATAACTTGTGCAATTTTGTGCTGTAAGTAGCACAACACACTGTAAGAAGTGATTCAATAGATGCTGTATGCCATGTAGTTGAATTAAAGTGAACTGCAGGATACATTGTAAATGTGGAAGAAAAATAGATTTGAAATGCAAACAGGGACGAAAGCTGGAAAAGGCAACAGAGAACTTGAGTATATAGTTTAAATCGTGTATTTTCTGGGCATGTAGTGTAAAATTATGAAGGCTGGGAGCTGGTATGTTGGATCAACATCGAGAATTTAAAAATGCTAAAGTTGTTGCACACCAGTTTCACACAATGAAAGTGTTCATGCCACAAGTGTTAGAAGATGAAGTTGTTGCACATGTATATCCATTTTGGAACATTTCCATTTTTAAGAATATCCCCAAAGATTTCTGTTAAATCATGCAAAGCAAGCTAGAATTCTTGGACTGAACAAAACAGGCAATGAATAAAGAAAATGAAAAATGTTATAGTTCAGGGATTTTTATAATACATTTGACGCATTATTTCTTAAAACCATACTCGAAAATTAATTCAGAAAGGCATGTCACATTGAAAACTGTCATTTCAACAAGATGCTGATGGAGGACCTGTGAACAGTGCATAATAACACTTAACAGGAGTGTATTGATCTAGGTCGAGGTGGCCCAGGAAGTGACAGACTTGAGAAAGGTCTAATGTTATTTTATTAAGAATGGTTTCAAAAGGATAAAAGATGTTAAGCTCTTAAGTGTTATTGAAAATCTGTGAAAGGTAGACACATAACAGACATTTCTGTTTTCCAGTGTTCCCCTGCTATATTTTCAGTAACCATTTGGAATAACAATACTCAGTAGTATTATGTCTGCACATACGTTTCTTTACCTTGGTGGCAGACCTAAAGGATGAGGTTGCCAGTTTTTTGATCTAGTTAACTCCTGCCTGTGAGGCTTTGTTCTCAGCTACTCCTTTTGTTCACTTGCATATGAGCATGGTGGGGTATGCAGAAAGACAACTCAGTTTACAGAGTCGTGGGAAAGTGATAGCCCAAAGCTGAGGCTATTGCTGCTTTTCATTAGACCTTAGCAATCTCATTACATGGCAGAGACAGGAGTTTGGAAGTGAACAAAACTGACTGCTCCTTAATCCAAATAA